GGACTCGTGTGCGCGGCGGGTACTGCGGCTTTCAAAGAGACGCGTGGGGTCGTCCCTCCACCGTTCCGGGCAGGCTGGAGTCGGCTCCGGGGGAAGGGCGTACGCCGGTGGCAGCAACCAGCCCACCCGGGAGAGCCAGGGCTCCCTTCCACGCCTTTGCAACCCGCTGGAGATGGTTACGAGCTGCTCCCGAAAAGGGTCAACAAACAAAACTGATGCGGCAATGAACATCTTAAAAGGACTTTAAAACATTTGATAGCAAAACCGGGATACGTTTCCTCCAGAAGCATCTTTCAGAAGGTGCTTAGTTGGTGGTTAACTTCCCCTAAAATCCTGTGCAACTTCATAGTATTAGCGAGAAGCGCCCACTAGAGCCTGTCCAGCCTGAGGAGTACCTTTCACCTCTAGTGCTATGGACCTTAAAAGAGAAAAAAACCCACCAAACTACTGTGGAGTTACATAGCATGCATAGCAAAGCTGGCTTCTGCATCATATGCTCCAGTGGTTTGTCAGATTGTTGTGTACTGCAAAGATTAGGCCTAACAGACAAATCTGTGAAATATTGAATATCCTTAATGCCTGTTTGTGCAGAATCATAATTTTAAATTCTTTTAGACATGGCATCAGATCCTGTATTTTCTGTTTTATTTGACTCTATGTACTGAATTTCTGAAGCTCTGAACTCCTCAGAGTAGTCTCCCTGGTTGCTATTGAACGGCCACAATATTTTAAGCTTACAGGGAATTACACCTCCTTTGTATCTGTAACATGTATGAATACATGAAGCTCTTCTGGTTAAAGCCATAGAACAGTTCTACTTATCAGCCTAATAGATAAGTAAATCTGTCACCTTCACAAGCAACTATTTCTAATACTGGTATTTTTTCTTTGCCAATGCATCTACCATTCATCTGAGCTTAAAACTGGAAAAAATGTTTAAATCCCAGGTTGTAAACATGAACGATCACTTTGGAGAATTTGAGAGGAAGAATGTAGTTTGTGTAAAAAGAATGCTTTAAAATGTATTAAAAGATGACAAAGTACAGTTTTTCTCTGCAATAACTTAAGTGCTAAAAAAAAATTAAATTAAACCCTTATAGAGTTTATGGTTTTTAGCTCTTAAAGTAGTTTTTGAAAAACTGCTAAAGCAAAAGAGAGGGCTTATGTCTAAGACAGGTACAGTTAGCAGCAGCTGTCAGTTTAGAGGTAATGGCCTAATCCTTTCTATCTCCATAATTGCTTTTCTGAGTGTGACAGTATCGTGTTTATTTCATAGATGGTGAGGCAGCAGCTAAAGAGTTAACGCTGCCGCCTTTTCACTTTACTTTCCAAACGGTCTTCACTGTTTCAGCACCAGGGGGACCTGTTTTGATGCTGATGCTGAACAGTATTTTCAACCTTTCCATGCAGTAGGGGATGTTGTGTTTAGCCTTCTGCATACATGCAAGCTGTAGCCAGTTTAAAACAAAGAAACAACCCCCCCCGTTGTTTACTCACAGTGGGTAACTGCGGTGTACTGATACAGCTTGTGGCCAAGGAGAGGGAGATGGAAATGGAAACTATGAACCTTTCATGTGGTTTTTCTGTTGCGACAGCAGGTTTGTTTCCTAGGCAAAAAATCTCAGAAGAGACAGTTGTATATTATGGGATATGTCACAGCCTACAGTTCCACCTAGTTCGTGTTTTCATATACCAAAAAAAAGGCAGTTTTGTTCAGACAGTATGTCCCCAATGGTTTCCAATGGTATCTGTGTGCAGAAGATTCACTTCTGTGAAGACCTGGATTACATCTAGCTATAGAAATGCTAAAGGATTAATCATCACAAGTCAAGTATTTTGGCCAAAGATCTGCCTTCAAAAAGAGTAGAAAGAGGGATGTTAAGGCACAGTATTTGTTGTTTTTTTTCAGTAAGACACGGCTTTAGTATCTTTGAAATTCAGAAAGCATTTTGCTTTTATCCCTGTGTAGTTATATATATAAAGCACCAGGGGAAAAACTGGGGAGAAAGAAGAAATCAAGCACAGCACAGAAAATTCTTACAGCTTCTCCATCTACAGCCTTAGTGATGTAGTTTAAAGTGCATTTCAAACCCCAAAGCCAGCTTACAGATATGTGACTGCTTGGATTCAGAATTTAGCTTGAATGCCCAGACTGTGTTCAGTCAAATATGTAATTGTGTTTGATGTATGCCTCTGTAAAACCCATGCAAAAGACATCCTGAGAGAAAGTTTAACCCTCTCTGTTTGGTTGGGTGGGTGTGTTTTTTTTTTTTCCCTCCACTTCTGCAGGAAACTATGCCCCAGACACCAATATTTTCCAGCATGCTTGGTTCCAGTTGTAGTGGACAAGTGCAGCCAGATATGGGAGAGAAGTGTGTGGACCCCGTTTATCAGGATGGGAACCTTGTTTCTGGATCACTGGAGGCCTTGATAGAGTGCCTGGTGCCCACCCTGGACTATTATCCAGACGTAAGTAGCCATTGAAGACTTTTTTAGTTTCCATGGTTTTCCTACATTAGTATCTGGATTGGTGCTTCTTCAAGGAATTCTACCTCCATCTGATTCAGCATTAACATTTAGACTAAAGATGTATTTATTTTACTTGCAATATTCATTCACTAAAGATGTTGCTCAATGGGGACACTCTCTGTTTTTAAATGAGAATACTTGTTAGAAAGATAAAGCTGTGTTGAACCCAAATGAGTGCCTTAAGAACCAATTAAAAGCAGCATTAGCCACAGAGTTTTCTATCTCTTTAAGCTGCTTTAGCTCTAATGCAGCCAAGATTAACTACTAGTCAGCTCCTACCTAAGGAAGTAGACCTGAAATCTGTTCTATTTTTTTTGTTTTGTTGTTGTTGTTGTTTTTCCTTTTTTTTTTTCTTTTTTTTTTTTCCCCCTTAATTTTCTATGCATCTCCTAGTTAGGCTATCAGGGAAAAAAAATAGATTAATTAAAATACTCTCTTTCTCAAGAGGTTCTAATGGGCCAGCATTTTAATAATGTGTGTGACAAGTTGCAAAATCATTTTCAAGCTTAGGAAATCAGCCTCAGTGTAGTCCCCTGAAGTAAATACCCCTTATGACTCCAGGGCATGCAGTAAGATTCTGAACCTAGAATATTATTAAGAGATCATGTTATCATCTAAAATTACTCTTGTACCCATTAATAAAAGAAGTTATTTAAACAAGTTGCCAAAGATTATAGTGGCTATATAGCATGTATTCCATCTGAGCTCTGAAAAGGCAGCAGTGATTGCAGAAGCATCCCAGCACTAGGTCAAGACTAACAAGGGCATGAGAAATTGCAGTCACTGTTAACTTGTATATAAATTTAGCATTCGTGGTAGTGGGCTGTGCTGTGTCTTGTATGTTTCCCAGTCTGACTCATGTAGAACTTTTTACTGTGCTTTCACATCAGTCATGTTAAACTCCCTTCAAGCTCCCAGGTACTCACCACCCGTCTTCAGAACTGCCACACACAAAAAAGAGACTCCCCATGTGAGAGTTCAGTGGGCATGAGCAGCAGAATTGCTGACAATCATCAGCAGAAGATTAAAAATAGCAAAACCAGGATGTTGAATATTCCACTTCAAAAATAATCCTAAACTTTGCATTTAAATATGGTTAACATACAAATGCACTACCTTTGGCAGATGCTGACTTAGTACCAAGTCCTTCATCAGAAACAGAAGGATAACCACTGTTGGACATTAAATATCTGCTCCCTGCCCTCAAATACATATTGTATAGCAGCTGCACAGAAGAATGCAGCAGGTAGATATGATATGATATTACCAGTGGAGTAGCTCTAGGCTGCTGTAGCCAAGCCTTCCAAGGAGTCAGTTCCTTCTGTTTTGTGTGATACCAGAATAGCATTACTTGCAGCTTGGATTCTGGACTGTAGATTAGAGCTAAGTTTTTTAAGTAGCTGCTAATACACATCCCCTGTTGTAACTTGTAACATATTTACAACACTTTAACTATTTGTAACACCATAAAGTGAGCATTACTTAAGGGATCTACAACTTCTTTTGGAATGCTGCTCGTTTCCATGGTGCTATCCCATACCCCATGAAAGGTAGCACTGCAAACCAAGCAGTCAGACACCCCACCCTGGGAGGCTGACAGCTGAGAGAGAACAGAAGCTACCAAGGGAGCTCCAGGGTAAGTGAGGTGGAAGGCAGCATTAAACCAAATGCATCTATTCTATAGCAGGATGCCTTCTTTTAGTTAAATCAGATCACCCAATTTAGCTGAAAGAATTAATTATAAAATGAATATATAAATAAGCCTTGAGGAACATAAAGAAGCAGGTGTATTTGAGTCATCTTCTGATCCATCTTTTCTATTTCAATTCAGTTGCAAGTTTATGCTTCATTTCTGAAGGTATTCCTGCCTCTGTGGACATTAAGCTAAAGATCATGGTCACCTTCTAGACAAGGGAAAAAAAAAAAAAGGGAGGAGTGGGGATGGGTGAAAAAGCAAATACAGAGTGTCTTTCTGTGCTGGTTACAGAGGCAAAACAAAAATGTATTTGCCATGTTGGCAGAACATGAGACAGGCAAGGGAGGATGGGAAGAGTAAGGGCCTACATTTTTGTACTGCTCTTCTGAGACTTGTTTGTGTACAGGGACTTGTTCAGCACATAGAAAAACATATACTCATGAGACAGAGAAGTTCAGGAGGTTAGGAATGGAATGTACCAGTCTGCAACCCTTGTGCCCAAGCAAGAAAGCTTTTCAAGGAAATATTTCCTAAACAAGAAGTTCCAGAATGAGCAGCAAGTCCACAAAGAAAATATTTTTCTTTCCCCCATCATGAAGACATCAGTGCATTCCTGAGTCAGAGTAACAACTCCTCCTTTAGTCTGATGCACTCGTGTGCGCTTCTTTTTTCTTTAAGTATAATTCAGCTCATCTCTTAGCAACAACTTTAGGCACTAAAGAAATCTGGCTTCTTATTCTTTTGTAAAGCACAAGCCCTTTTTGTGTCAGCTTATGTTGTTCCAAGTGCAGAAAGATTGTGTTTTGTTTTTTTTTTTTCTCCTTTTTCTCCTCTCATCTTAAACATCTGTCACTTTTATAGGATAAATGGAGCTATAACTTTCAATCTTGTACTTTATGGAAGCCTTTTTTAATCATTCTTTGTCAAACTAGCTGGCTTCATAGTAAATTTCTTTCTCCAAACCATTGTCTTCATGATTAGGTGACTGCCTATGAGACTGTTTTAACATTTAGCCTATATGCATATACTAATACAGGTATAACAAATCACAGACGTCCTTTATCTGGATAAAGCATATGACATTAGTGTGAAAGATTTTGTATTTAAACAAACTGTGTTCCTAACCCTAGAAACCTACTGCTAAACTGAAATTTATGGCTTAGTTCAGCCTGAAATTTCTTTATTGGATAGGGAGTGGCTATTAGCAGAGAAGTAAGGAGATGGAGGTCAATACTACTGTCAGACCTGTCATTTTTAAATTGGCTCTTAATTTCAGTTACTCCTTGTCTATGCCAGCATAAGCCATAAAAGTATCAAAAACTCTCCATAATTAGATACCAATATATTGTAAACCAGCATATCTTGATTTACCTTAATGGAACAATTTTGTTTTCCAAAGTACTGAACCTAGTTCCAGTTAAGTAACTGTAAAAAATCTAATAAAAATACAGCAGATGGGTTCCAGAACTAATAATAATTTGTTTTTAAAATCTAGTAGTCCAGTGTTGTCTGGAAAAGCATTTCATGTGTCCAGTACAGATATTACTGATTACAGAGAGACATCAGCAAGCTGAAAGTGGGAAGTATTCACTTTCATGGCCATACATCTTCATGCATCTTGCCAGTTTGGTGCTTTTTTTGAATGCCATATAAAACATTATCAGAGAAGTCAAATAAAATCATAGGTCTTTTGGGTCACTTTTCTTGCAGTACAATAGGGAAATGATACTCCAAGTGAGCCTTTCTCAGTCACTCTGGATAAACACTATCCCACATCACACAAACTTCCACCAAGGAGACCAACACTAGAATTAATATGAGAAGCAAAATTATATCTTTCCTTAAAATAATGTGTTCCATCTTATTGGAGTGAAGGTCACTGGCAGGGCAGTGTGACTCAAGTTGTGGTTCCCTGCTGCTTACATGTAGAGGCATCTTTCAGGCAGCTTTCCTAACAAGAATTTGAAAAAGGGTTGAAAGTATCAAAGTCCATATTCTTTTTTTTTAATTCCCCACCTCTCTTAAATGAAAAATGTGGTAAAAGTGAGGGCTGCTTCATGTTTCCAGAACAAAAATTTTCACACAACCCAGTGACAGCTGACACACCCAACAAGTAAATTCCTTTCCCAGATAGTCCAGACTCCCAGTATTATGTTCAGACACAACACTGATAGAAATTAATGCAGAAGTTGGCTACAAAAAATAATAGAGGATAACCAGGCATAAAGCAGAAATACACAAATAAAACCCACACCACCAAAAAAAAAAAAAAAGTCAGCTGTTTCCAGATGCAGGTGTAAAAAGCTACATTTAATTTCTTTTTTAAATGTTGTGAACTTCAATATTTTTTCATTGTAAATGTAAAAACCACTTAAATTCTGTGGAGAGAAACAAACAAAATATCAAATAGAAGCCTGGTTTCCTAAGTTTTCCCACTGTACAGTTGTGTGGCAGGATGTTTGTAACCATGCCATCAAGAAGGGAAGCAGTCCCTGTCAGTGCCCTGTCCCTGTCCTGGCCACCTCTGCACTCAGAGTCACCAAGAGCCTGACTGTCCGTCCACCTTCTGCAGGCATCAGTGGAAGCACTATTCCAGACACTGACCTAAACTGCCCATCCAGCTAACCCTTCTCCTCTTCACAAACACAAGGCAAAGACTACAGGTTAACTCCAGTTTTGACTGTACAGAATTAATAGTATTCTTAATTTAGTACACGAACTCCAGTGCTAATAACATCTCCAAATCAGAACGAGCATTTTAAGTGCCTCTGCTGTATCACACTCTACTCATTTCATTACCTGCCTCCACAAGCTCAGGACAGAGTTGGATATTTAATAGATATATGCTTAATCTATTATACTGTTCACTGACTTCCAGAACACTATGACTTTTAGGTAACTTTGTTTTAAAAAAAAATTCCTTTTTTCTCCTTCTGATATTTTGAGGATTTTAGTGCTAAATTTATATTATAGGGCACATTGAGTACTGAAGAAATGGAAACATTTTTCACTAACAACACGTTTTCCTGTGATTAGAGAAATAAACCCCATAACCTTTTTGGAGTCCTACAGATATCAGTATTGTTCAATACAAATGTGTTTTAGAGACTGCAAGCAGCAAAATTTGATAGCTAATAGTAGAGATGCCATATTTTATAGACGACTGGTCTTGATTTTCAGACATCTCAATTTACTTGCCCAGTCCAAGGTGGTGTAAGTGCACACTGACTATATGCACACTTGGCTGTGGCCTCCAAATCACATCTCTGAAAAAACAGTGCAAAGTAACAGTGCACACTGCAAACATAAAAAAGGTTAATTGAAAACCATCATCAAGGAGATCCCCTACAATATCCTAACTCCAAATTCTGTCAAAAAGCCTAAGGGAAAAATCAGAAGGCTTTATGAGATGCTACTGTCATTACTCAGGAAATTACATTCAAATACAGAAGCCAAGTTTCAAACACTGAGGCAAGATAGGGCGTGAAGGCATTCTCACTTTGACTAAGCTGGCCAGAGTATGATTCAGAATACAATACATTACAGCTTTTGAAATACATATGAAGAAGCTATTTCTAATGAGAAATAATAATTGTTGGCAATGTCCATATTCAAAAGTCTCTGAAACAGGCCCCAAATAAGTAGTCAAACTTTAAATTATTGTCATATGGCCACAATCTATGTTAAAGCTGTGTCAGTGACTGTGGTAAAAAGGAACCAAAAAACCCCATACATGAAAAAATTACAGCTGTGGTTTGGAATACACATGAAGCAGTTTTCTCAGCTCCATGAAAAACAATAACTCTTAAACAAAGCAGCAGAAGTAGTAATGTTCAAGAGGCAAAACACCCTATGTTGGATATATTTCATTTGTCTTTAGTGAGTGATGACTAGTTAGACATATTAAGTTTGGCATTTTAAAGGAAAATAATTTGGGAATCTGAAAACATCATAGTTAACAGCCTTGAAGCCTACAGCATTTCCCTTGAACAGAGTTAGAAAAGACCACCGTATCTCTGTAGACAGGAAAAATGATAAGAAAATTCCAACAAGGGAAAATTACACTTGTGGTTTATGGAATAGTTTTTCCAAGGAAGACAGATTATTTTTTCTACCCTTACTCAACTTTTTTTTTTCCCCTCTCTGCTTTCACAGAGGACTTACATCTTCACTTTCCTACTGAGCTCACGAGTCTTCATTCACCCACATGAGCTCCTGGCTAAAGTGGGGCAGATCTGCATTAAACAGAAACAGCAGCTAGAAACTGGGACTGAGGCAGAAAAGGTAAATGAACCATTATGTCTTTCAGTTAACTGTGCTACTGTCATTTATTTCCCACTTTTTCCTTCTCAATGTAAAGCTAAATAGAATGATAAAGAGTAAACTGAAATTGTAATTGGTGTGTGCTACTGGATGCACTTTTATTTGGGTATTTTTCCTTGAGGTACTGTTGCTTCTTTGCTAGCTGTAAACGTAGGTTTTGTACTACCCTACCAGAGGGATACAGTGGCTGGAAATACAGTTTTGCTCATGAACTACAGGCCACCATCTCATTAGACTTGAGTGCTCTGCTGTAGGTTATTGGCAGGGTGCTTTAAGTTGGTGTAACAGTAAATCAGAATGTTACATCTCACAAAAATTAAAGGATGTGCTACTTAAAATTGTAACCTGGCTGACACATGTGACCAAGGAGTTTTACTACAACCAACTAAATCAAACTGGGTCAGTTTATGATATGCACTTAAATCCATCTAAGTCCCACTGTTAATGAAAAGTATGTATTGAAGGGCTTTTGACTGAAATTGGAGTACCAGAATAGTCCAAGCTGGGATGCAAACAAAGGCAACATGATCAATGATGAAAACAGCAAGTATTTAAAGACCTATTTGTTCAAATCCCAGGCATGTTTTGGATCTGTTCTTCTACTGTGAGAAATTACATGCTCACATTCCTAATATTCAGCATGTTGATAGTACCATTTTGTTTTCTCCTTGATATATCAGGATTCAGAGTGGGGAGCACGAAAGAACCCTGTGGTTTGGCAATTAAGAGTTTTTAACAGCAGTACTGACCTAAGGGCTTCTTTCTCCCTTACTGTTCCTGGGGTGCAGTCTCATACTATATCACAAAATTACTCCACAAGAAAAACTAATCACTTGGTGAAAAAATTTCTTTCATCAAGGTCAGTCCCCTGTTGTGCTTGCCAAACAGCTATGTAACTCATTGTGCAGTTGCTGGGGAATTTAAGGGGTAAGGGAAAGAAGGTGCAAGAACTTCGGTGTCCAGCTTTGTACACTGAAATGATAACAGTTCCCATTGCCAAACTAATTTATGACTGAGCGACCTCAAACTGATGCTCTGTAGGTCGTAGTGGTTCCTCAGCGACACGTAACTAAACTGAGGCAGGAGCTTGTAAGAGATGCTGCGACCCTCTGAAATGTGGAATGAGTAAAGCTGAACTGTAAACCAGTACAGAGGAAGACTTGTCAGTAGCTAGTGTCAGAAATGTACATGAAATACTTGGATTTATAAATAATGGGATATAAGATGAAACTTTTGTGAATAACAGTAGGCTTAGGGGATTGTAAAATGGAACAGTATCTGGGGACTAAATCACATGGCTATTTAAAGATATTAGTTGTAAAGTAATACAGTTCAAATTTTTCAGCAGATGTGTTGAAAAATGATGGCTTCCACACTAAAATGAAACAGCATTACATCCTAACAACAGGATGTAAAATAGAGCAGCTCATATTTCATATACCCACACACTTACACCTTCTGCTAACAATTTGGAAATGGGCCTACAGGAAAACTAACGAGCAGCAGGGTCACAATAAAACGTGTGTGTTTGGGAGGCTGCTTTAAATTAGATGCTTTGATGGTCGCTTTTCCTACTATGCTCTTGATCTCTTCCTACCCTCTTAATGTAAACTGTATTTTTTTCCCTGCCCACTAAACCCAGAATTCTTGGAAAACATTACACAGACTTCTGAGATCCCTCTCAAATGATTACTTTACTGTCTTACGCTGCAAGCACCTGTATGTCTTACAGAATAGTCTGGCCATTAGCATTTGCAACCATTTGTTTTTCTGTCTGGCAACAAGTAAAAGCTCATTTCACATGCAGCATAGAAATTCTAGACTCAAACACTCTATGTATTCACACTCATAACCTATTAAGGTATCATCAGCTATCAACATATTATAATTAAGTGTCTCTGTAGCAGGAAATAGCTGGCAAAGGTAGTTGAAGCATCTCTGATCACCTCCGATAGTTTGCTTATGCAAATCTCTTAAGATGAGGAGCTAGCTGACTTATCTGGATAATGTGCGAGTTCCAAGAGTGGGAAGAGCCAGGTTTTGAGGTTAAATACCACAAAACTTATCACTCCTTTGGTTTTGACATTACTGGCTAGCCAAAGATTCCTAGAGAAAACTCGATTAAAAACATTCTGGGATGTCTTGGAGCCTGCTTAGAGTCCTTTTGGCCACTCACAAAAAAGGAAGTGTTTCAACAGTTTAAGACATCAATTATAAAATACAAGTCACGAGTTAAGCTTGACCATGAAGGATAAAATTTGTAGGGAACACGGGTAACAGCAGCTTGACCCGAGTAACGACTCACACCGATACGATTCATGGTCGTTCTCCGTTTATTTGCCCAAATAGCCCCGTTTATATACAGTTCCAAGCAACCCCCTGCTTAAGCTATGGTTAATTAGGTACAAGTCTGAGTTTTCTACCCCCCCCTTCTCTAGTATCTATGTTTTTGTATGACATCAGTTTCTACTCTAAGCTAGCAATTAGCTCACTACAATACTGGCTTTATTTCTTAAAGACATCTTGCTAGCAATTCAGAACCTTTGGCCCATAGCCCTGTACTGATTCACCCTGGGTTGCTTACTGTGGTAGAGGGAAAAAGAAATCCCCCACAAAAATTTAACACTCCACAAGCATCTTAGAGACTGGAAAGACCCAAACAAGATTGTCACAGAAATAAAAAAAAGCACTTGTATAGTATTATACAGTGGAAAAACCTGTTAAAACTGTAGTGCATTATTTTTGGAGCTTGAGAATATTTTTTAAATCAAAAGTTAAAGAAGAAATAGGGGAAGTAAAAGTTAGTTTCTATTATGCTTATCTTGCCTGTCTTGGAATACAAAAGTCCCTTCAAAAGTTATGATTTCCCTCATTTTTTGTCACCAGTAAGTTCTCATTTTTAAAAACAAAAGTCGAAACAATACCCATAAGCAGGTCATTGTCATTAAAGCTCCTTTTGCTACACGCACAGTGCTATTTCCGTCCTTTCTAACCGGTAGTTGTTCTTCAATCCTCTCGGTTTTGTCTCATGCAGAACAGGGCTGATCCACAGTACTTAATTTAAGAGAAGTATTTTTCTTCTCAGAAAAATATGTATGGCAAAAGTATTCCCATAGACCCCGGAGAACTCTTTCAGGCCTCATAAGGGAAGGCTCACATCTGGAGTAGAACTACAAGGAAAGAAGGTTGATAGGTTCATTGCAAACATAACAAAAATGAAAGTGTGTGCTGCTACCCATGTATCGGTGTGGTTTCTATCTAGCTTATCACAAATTATGTGCCTTAAGCCTGTCATGCTGCTTTGAGTTTCAGAGTGCACGTGAAACAGGAATCTCATGTTTTGATATACTGAAATTTTAGTGTTGCTCGTGGGAAGCATACCTTATTCTCATGAGCATTAAAAGCATCTGATAAAACATTAAGCTTTTTTACACCTGAAGAGCAATAACAATAGCAATATGGTTTGCAGTTTCTCTTGCACCAGATGTCTATCTTTCCATCGTGAGGGAAGCAAACCCTAGCAAATCATGAGTAGATACATGAGACGGGGAGTCAGTGTTCATATGGAGATGCTTGCCATGCCTTAAGGAAGAATTTTGGAGCCTTCTTGCCTCCATCCCTCCTTGTTCAGTTTAAAAAGTGTCCTAGTTCCGTGTAAAAAGGGGTTCAGGGCAGGACCCACACGGAACAGAACTATGTACTTGCCTCTCCCCCCTCCTGAGAGAGAGAGAGAAACTTTGGAAAAAAAAAAATGAAGCATATTGTTTAACAAGGAACAGAAAACGAAAAAGGGAGGTAAGGAAAATAATATATACAAAGATTAGGGGAAAAATACAAAAAAATAAAATATACAAAACTCTCAGAAATGGTTCCAAGGTCCCACGGAGTGAAAGGACAACTTCCCTCTCCGAGTTGCTGAGCAGGAGTGAAATTAGCACCCACTTCCTGCCTCTTATCAGAGTGTGTGTGGGAAGGGGAGGGAATACAATGGTTTCACCCCCACCTGGGGTCCTCCCAGTTGCTGGAAGGTCACGCCCCCATTCCAAGCCTCAAACCACAACAAAAAGTTAAAAAGAAAGGATGGTCAGGATGATTAATACCAAAAAAATTTCTGTAGCAGCTTTTGGTAAACAAAGGTAGAGCAGGCACATATCTGTTAACTTTAATTGAATGGAAGTCCACTGACTGACTAATTCTCTCTTACTACCTACTGATTATTCTTTTAATAATGCCAGGCTCCATGCATTCCCTAGCAAAGAAGTATAAATAGTCTTTTCCCCAAGGCAGATGACAAGGGGAATTTGGAGGACAGACAACTATAACCTGGAACTCTGTCCCCTGCTGTTTAGGAATACCTTGAAGCTGGGCATCACAGGAGCAAGAAAATTCCCTTCTGTATTACAAGGAGCACCGGCTTCTTTTCAGATTGAGGCTTCAAGGATGCATGGTTTAACTTCAAAGCTCTTATTAATCATTATTAGTATTCCCACTGACTACAAAACAGTTAGATGTAAGAAAAAAGTACAAAAAATTATTTGCTTGACTTCTAGTTTTGATTACATTAACTGGGACATACTATGGCCAGATGATGTTTTGGCACAAGTTCCTGCCAGTTCTTGGAAGACATTCTCTATGCATTGTAAAAAGAAGCAATGATTTCCTGTAGTGACACTCACGTGCTAAGTCTCCTTCTGTAACCCCCAAGAGGCTGATGAAGAGTGCAATGAGGAAAGCTCACTGTGAAGGGGAGAAGGAACTGCTGTGTAGTGGGACTTCTGTACCTTACACGAGTGGGGAGAGACACAAATGAAGACGTCCACTTTTTCCTCAGTGCATCACAAGTAGGGTGGGAGGAAAAAATACAATCTGAATTAAAGTTTTGATTCTTCTTGTTCAATAAAAGTGTTCTTGGCACTCACGCTCCCAATTTTACAAGCGTGCTCCCTTGGATTTACTGGTGCTGCTTTCTATTGCTATGGTAGTGGAAAACCTGGTACCCAATTCAGGTCTAGCTGATGAAAAGCCTTAAAAGATTCAAGAGCAATGGAAGAACTTAAAAAATAGTTCTCCCTCCCCTTTCTGTCACTGATAGCTTTGAGTAAGAGCCAATACTTTTTATTTTCAAAGTCCATTTTGATTTAGATGTCATGGAGAGAAGACATACATCTTTCCTGCCATTCATTTATTTTAATATACAGCTCAGTCTAGAGGGTCTGATAAGTTCCATAGAACAAAAATACCTTTGTGAACATTCATCCTGAAAGATGTTTGGTAAAGTGCTGCAGTGAGTATGAATTTGAATTTAAACACTAAGGTACTGCTGCCTCAGATAGCATAAACTACCTTAAGTCCCATTGACTTCAATCAAATAAGTAATTCAAACTATTGTGTCATCTTCCTGGCTGTATACAACTAATCTGGAAAATATCTTAAGAGTGTTTGGTAAGAGACATTACCAAGACACCATGAGAGGAGGCTAAACCGTACTATTTAGGAAGCTGGCTCACAGTTAAATATGGTGGGCTTTATCCCCTTCACTTGATACTAATACGAGGTATTTTCCAGGCTGTCTCTAGTTTTATGTGAGCATTCATCAACTAATTTACTCTGCAGTCAGAAAGGTCTGTGGTCAGTAATCAACTCATTGTTTCTTTCTAGGCAAAGCTAAAGTTCTTTGCTGCCAAAATCATTCAGCTCCTGAAGGAATGGACTGAAACTTTCCCCTATGATTTCCAAGATGAAAAATGCATGAAAGAGCTGAAGGAGATTGCTCACAGGATCACACAATGTGATGAGGTAGGGGCTAGGAGGTAGAAAAAAACAAGTGGTAAAGCAATAATTGTCAACCTTTATATATAGTTTGTAGTATTATATACAGTATATGCAGTATTTTCTAAATGGACTACAGCAGCAGTTGCTAAGCTGTCGGTGTAACTGCAGGACATGGGCTGAGTGATGTACTTAATGGTCCATTAGCAGAAATTGTCTATATATAATCACCAAGTGTAAGAGAAAAAAAAACCAGTCATGACAATATGAAAAATGGAAGGAGAAAGGAAAAAAAAGTGACTACAGTGGCACAATATGGTTAACTTTCATAATGAATTATGTACCATCCTTTGTACTGTTTCTACTCTCTACATCTAAGTCCCACAAGTTGTATCAAATGTACTCTTGCTCAACATGAAGATGCTTATTACTGAATAGTTCATTCCTACCTCCTAACAATAATCAGCAAGTGTTTTATCAAAATGTTTCAGGTGACACACACAGTATTTCCACAAAGGAAGTTATATTTGAGCTCTGCTAGCTAGTCAATCACCAGTCTTAACAGCTCTGAGCTGCTAGCCTTTGAGGAAATCTAGACCTTACAAAAGATTTTTCTGAAGCAAACAGGTAAAGCAAATTTAAATAAAACAAGGATAAACCAAGGATAAATGTTAGTCTTCTGTTGTTTTGTTAGGTTTTTTCCTTTGCTGTTTTTTTCTGAGGGGTGTGGGGGTGTACTTGTTTTTTTTTTCCCCCCACACTCAGAGCCTATGCTTTTTTTGCATTGAGATAGTCACTGTAATTACCAATAGACAAAAGGAAGCATATAATCAAGAACTGCAAGAGGATGTTTGTATGAATGCAAAGGCTTACTGAGAAGTAGAAGCTTCTGTTTTTTAAATCCACAGCTTCAAGATATATTTTAGAAAAATTAGCAGGAAATTAGAAGACAATTGTATTATTTGTTTTTGTTGATTCAAGTACAGAGAAAATGAAGAACAACAGGTTTGACAGCACTGCATGGATCGGGGATAGGACATAACACAATTAGGTGTTACTGAGTTGTCAAAAGGAAGTATGTCAGTTGTGTTGTGTCAGCAAAGCTGTTTACCTTAATGCCACTAAGAAAATGTCAGTGCCTTAATAGGAGGGGAAGAGGATATATGATTATAGCATGTCTTCTATTCCCTTTGTAGACAAGAGTAAAGAGGTTTACGTTGGCAGAAATATACTTGGCAGACCTTTTATTTAGTTTCAGTATCTTAGTACTTAATTTGTCTATTACTTTGAAGTAGAAAGATGTTGTGGCCTTTCTCTTCCCTTTCACTCCCACTCTGTTATGTATGAATAAATTGTCATTTTAGAAAAACATATCTTCATGGAGTGGCTCGGTGCTCTGGTGTCTGAGGCATCTGAGGATATCCATTAATTACATCATTACCATATTTATCCCTTGAACAAGGCTACTGGTCAAGCTTGATCAGTGAAGAGCTATGCCACATCTGACCCCTAGAAAACAATTTAACACTGATGAAAAACAGCTCTTGCTCTCAGTATTTGTTATCACAATTCCCTTTCCTGTGCTTCAGCAAAAGGTTATGGTAACAGTTTGTATTTTAAAGCTTTTCCAAATCCCCTTAGGACACTATTCTCCATACACTGGATAGAAAGTCAGCTGAGAACTCACACAAAGCAGTCAGGTGCTCACCCTAATGATATCAGACAGCATATCAAATAGTTACAGCTACAGCCAGGGTTGTGCCCCAGCTGAAGTGCAACTGTCTTGTTTGAACTCAGATAAGGACAAATTATTGTACGCTCATTGATCTATTTTCCAAAGTTGTAAGAAAATTTAGTGTAATACTAATAATGAAAAGAAACTTCTAAAACTCTAAGGGCATTTATGTAAGTATTAATACACTAATAAATTCACCACAGCTGAAGTAAGCCATAGTTTTTGATTTCACTGCAGTTTATTTGTTCACTTCCACATAGTATGGTCTGCAATACTCTCAACTGCCTTAAAGTTTGATTCTCTTTGATTCACATTTAGAGAGTCTGCATCCTCCCAGACACACAGCTAAGTTAGGCATAGCAGCTGAAGCCAAATGATTTACAATAGAAAGCTCAGCATAGCAGAGAGCAGAATTAGTGTGTTATTTTAGTTCTGCTCCACCCCACCCCTGCCACTTCCTTGGCATTTTAGGAACACTTGTAGCACAATATCAGAAATGGCTCTAGCCAGCTGCTGTTCAGCAGTAATACAGTTGCCTCAAGATGAGCTACACTGCCTTCAGCTTTTCATTTGATTTCACTTGGGAGTCAGATTATTGCCTTGTAAAGCAACATTCTGACACTATTATTGCTTAATTACAGCATACAAGTATTTGGTAGTCATCATCTCTCACATCTGCTACTTATTTTCAGTCATCACTGTACATTAGTGGCTTCTTTGGATGATCACAGATTCATTGCAGTTCTTTCTAGTGCATCCAGTTGACTGGCAGAAAGGAACACAACACATTGTAAACTAACGATTAACCTTGTGGTCAACATCAAGAGAAATAATTTGCATGAAAGCAAGAGAACAAGTGTGTAAGAAGAGAAGGACTGTCTTTAGTAAAGCTAGTTTTTCCAGCAGCAGGAAGAACAGGATCAGACAACCTGAGTCATTTAGAACAGTAACATGAGGGACAGAGGAGTAGGAAAGTGATCAAGTAAGGCCTTTGCGGTTGATCTCAGAGGAATATCCGCAGGACACCGTTGATGGCAGAAATAATTCAGCTTGCTTTAATTATCAAAACACTGGGTGGGTGGATTATATTTCTGTGGCTTTACCAGTATGCATACTTAGAGATCCTGTCTTTAAAAGCTTCACCTGATGAACAGAAATGCATTTTAGCTATCCAAAAGCATGATGTATGTTGTACTCTTCTCTAAATCTTTGGATGCTATGGTTGTTCAAAGCCAGGGCATTTTAGGGGTCTGTTCCTGGATATAATGTGAATTCCCTGGATTCTGCCTGGGCTAGATAGACTTGTTCATCAGTGGACCTGATCAGAAGGATAAAGAGATTTTTGGCACTTGGTATACAGAGGATCCAAGAATCCTTGTGCAAGAAACTCAACCATCTTTCTCCATACCCACTTTTAAGCTGCTCACATAGATGCTTTTGAAATGGGGTACTAGCAAAAAACCGCTGCAAGGATCGCACCAGCCAAGCAAGTGAAAGAGTTGGGAAGACAGAAAGACATAAGCACCATTACAAGGTTGTGTGGGCAGTTAAGACAAATAAACTTGTCCTAGGATGATCAGTTCAGATAAGGTGAAAGAATATGGATAATAGGCATTTACTTTTCTCAGTCAGAAATTCTTTGGTGATCTATCTCTGCAAGGGCTAAAGGGGTTTAGCAGTCATTGTTTCTGCCTTTTGCTTAGGAAAATGGAACAGTGAAAAAGATCATTAGCCAGATGACACAGAATCTCCTGATGGCCCTCTCTGCACGGAGCCAGTACCAGGAAATCAGAGAGAAATTCCGGCAGCCCGTTACCGACAAAGGCACCATCCTCAAAACCAAGCCACAGTCAACTCAGAAGGACATCCTGAGTGTATGCTGTGACCCTCTGATCCTGGCACAGCAGCTGACCTATATTGAACTGGTGAGACACTAATTTGTGTAAATTACTTTATTTTCCATTTATTAAATATTAATGTACTAATCAATATGAATTTTGCTATGGCTTCACTGAAAGCTTCCAGTGTTTTAATAAAAAAATACCAAGTGTTGAACAAGACCAATTGGGTACACTTATAAAAATGCCTCACAAATCTGCACTATAGAAACACAAAAGTTAGCAAAAGTGTTCTCCTAACTTTGACTTTATTGGTGCACTTTTCACTGAACTCCCAGTTTGTCTGTACAGTGACAATCTCCCATTTCTCCAAACACAGGAAAGGGTGAGCAACATTTACCCAGAGGATCTGATGCAGATTGTCAACCACATGGACTCCCTGGATAATCACAAGGTACAAGAAGGGCTACAGAGAGGGGAAGAAAGAAACAAAAAAAACCCACCTGGTTAAGTATAACCTGTGTGAGAAAGGCTGACATCTTCTAACTTTCTTTAAGCTCATGCCTTAAAAAAAATATTCAACAAGCTTTTATCAAGACATAGAAATGGAATTATATCCTTTGGTATGTTCACTTTAAGTGATACAAGATACAGGATAGGATTAACATGCAGCCTTTTGTCTTAACAGTGCCGAGGTGATGCGACCAAAACCTATAATTTGGAGGCCTATGACAATTGGTTCAATTGTCTCAGCATGCTGGTGGCTACAGAGATTTGTCGGGTAAGTATTTGTACAAAATAAGAGAGCAAAGTGATCCTGGCCTTAAGGACAAAAGGCAGGCAGTGATCTAGTAGCAGATTTGAACATTAGCAATTCAATTAAAGATAATGTCATTACTTAAGTTTTAAATTATTTGCAGGCTTATATGATTAAGAGTTCATGGCTATGTTTGGCTTTGCATATATTCTGTAGTTTTGTGTAGCCTCCACGTACTATTAGTCATGCAGTGCAATTGAATTTTTGTGGAGTTTGAGTTAGGAGCTCTTTTGGATTTTTTTTCTCTCTTTTTAAATTACATCCACAAATGGATATATTTAAAACTGGACCAGTGTTGTT